TTAAATGTTTAAGTAAACAAAAATAATACTTATGATATTTTATAAGAAAATGTTAAATATTGTTAGGAGAGAAAAATGTCAATTAGTTAAAGGAATAATGTGCCAACATTTGAAATAATACTGTCCTACTCACAACAAAATTAAGGTCAATGATATACTGGAAGAATAAGGCTGAAGACAAGGTTTTCAACAATATACAGCTATTGTAACAATCCTTGATCACACAGGAACATAAGCAATCATGCAGCTTAAAAGCTTGATACAAAATTCAAAGATGAGGGTCCCTGTTCTCTAATTCAAACATGTGGCCCTACTAGATTTTCTGTTGGAATACAATAGGCACCTGGAGGCCCACATGCCTGCTCCTATTTACTGTGTCTTCCATGAGTTTCCTTAATGAATGTTGCTAGATCAAGTCTAGAGAAGGTATTTTACCTTATAATCAGGACACACGTACACAAATAAGTATATTAACACACATTTCTATGCCTTTAAAAAGAGAGAATTCAGTAAAGAAAATAATTAAAAACATTTCTAGACATCATTGCTACCTGAAATCTCAAAAAAATTATTTATATCACTTCTCAAATGTTACACTTATTATTTATATTTAATTGTTTCAATTCCAACCTGCAATGTTTTCAAGCGTTTATTAAGAGGTAATGCATCTACTTCCAGAAGAAAAACTTCCACTGCCCTGTACAACTTCTGTTGCACTTCATTTCTTTCAGCAATCAAAATGTTTCCTTCATCCTACAGGAGAAAAAACAACTGCCATCACTAATACGTCGGGGTGTTGGGGGTTTTTTTGTGGGGTTTTTTTTGCAATGACATATTTATATGTTTCTCAAAGTAAGTAAAACTCAACATTACATTGTTCAAACATAATAATGGTTACATAGCCAAATTACCAGAGCTTTTTTTTAATTAAAAATAACAGCATTTAAACTCAATAAACGTATTCTACTTAATTTTTCCATTATTTGTAGAGTAATGAATACCTTTGTTTTCCTGAGGAAATTATGTCAAGCTCCCATTATTAAGGGGCCAGATGTCACAACAGTTAAGAATGCCACAGCCAACTGAAAGGTTCAAACCCATACAACAGCTCTGTGACAGACAAAGACATGGCCATCTGCATCCACCAAGATTATCACTTACGAAGTTCTACTCTGTTCTATAGGTTCACTAAGAAGCCTAAAGAGCACCGAACAAGTACAACATTATTAATTATACACTGCCTCCCTGTTATCCCTATTCTACCCTCAATTCCTTCTTCATGTATTCATCCTTTGAGATTCAGTTGTTGCGTGCTGTCAAGTTGCTTGCAACTCACAGTGACGCTAAGTACAAAGCCCTGAAACCTGCTGTATCCTGTGCCAACCCGTCTCTCACACTCCTACCCTCATTACCCCAGTCACTGAATCAATCTATCTCATCAACGGTCTTCCATTCTCCATCCCTCTACCCTTCCAAGCATGATATCACTCTCCAAAGACTGGTTCCTCCTTGCAAGATGGCCAAAGTATGTCAGACGAAGCTTCAGAATCCTTGCCTCCAAGAAGCCTGGTTTCACCCTCTTCAGGACGAAAGTGTTTGTCCTCTTGACAGTCCATGGTATATTTAATACTCTTCTCCAGCACTACAACTCAGAGGTATCGATTCGCTATCATCCCCCAAAACAGTCCAGCTTTCTGATGCATATCAAGCAATTACGAATACTATGGCCTGGATCAGGCACACCTTAGGCTCCAGACTGACATCGTTGCTTTTCAATATTCTGAAGAGTTCCCTGACTTTCCCAGTGCAATTCATCTTTTGATTCCCTCGCTGCTGGTTCCAAGAGTACTGATTGTGGAGCCAAGCAAACTAAAGCGTTCTTAACAATTTCAAACTCTTCACTATCATGATGTTGTCAATTGGCCCAGTGGTGAGAATCTTTGTTTTCTTGCTGTTGATCTTCAATCCATATTGAAGGCTGCAGTCCTTGAACTTCTGCAGCAAGCACTTCATATCCTCCTCAGTTTCAGCAAGCAGGGTTGTGTTATCTGTATAACACAGGTTGTTGATGAGTCTTCCTCCAATCCTGATGCTACATTTCCACCTCATAGAGCCTAGCCTCCCAGATGATCTGTTCTGTATATAGACCGAAAAGTATGGGAAAAGGACAAATCCCTGGCATACACCCTTGTTGATTTTGAACTACGCATTGTTTCCTTGCTGTGTTCTGACAATAGCCTCCTGATCCAAGTATAGATTTCGCATAAACGCAATCAAATGTTCTGGGTTCTCAGAGTTTGCCACAGTTTGTTGTGATCCACAACAGATTCAGTTATACACCAAGATAAAATCTCCAATTCTCCTAAGAGTCCATGTGTGAAATATCTTAAGTGAGAGAGCTTCAAGAAGCCACGTATTATCTCTATTTTCAATCCTGCTGCGAAGAAACAATTCCTAGTCATAGCAATCCTCTATTAGGTTTCCAATTCTACGTCTTTACGAGAGAAGATTACTCATTTTTCTCCTTCAGTGGCGGATTAAACTGTCACCTTTTTAGTTATCAGGTTAGAACATTACATTACACCACCATCTCTATTATATTATTTAACATGCTGTTTTTATGTTGGAAACAACTCATAGCTGACCCAGCAGGTTTGGAGAGGTTGTAAAATGCATGGGAGGAAACCGCTCATCTTTCTTCCGTGGAACAGGTGGTGGATTCCAAGTGCCTTTGGGTTGGCAGCCCAAACCCTTACCACTAGGTCACCGCAGCTCCCCTATTACTTAACACACTCTATTGAAATCATCTTTATTTTGGTACATAACCATTACAGTAGTACCCAATCAACCCCACTATAGTACCTGACATTTACTCTATCAAAATCATCCTGGATATAAGCAAAATAGAGAATCATGTCTTTCATTTTTCTTCACCACTTATGACAGTACTAGGCATATGCACTTAGGAACATGGATTCTGGAATAACCTTTCTTATGTTAAACTAGACCATTTTAAACAATAAAGACAAAGAACCTCCAGAAAAGAAAAAAAAACCAAACACACCTGGGGAGAGGTTAGAAGCAGAGGGATGTGAATGTATGGGGGAAGAAGGGATTAATCATTGGGTTTTACAATCTGATGGGGGGTGAAAGAAATTGTTAGAATTTGTTTGAATTTGTATTAGAATTTTGTAAATAAACTAATAAAAAAAACCAAAGACTAAGGTAAAGAAAAAAAAGGTAGCCTCATCTTTCTCTTAAGGAATTTTAATTGTGTTTTAATTTCAGCTAGCAATCCAACACTTAACCTAACTACACCACTCAACTCCTTTTAGGTTCTTTACAGTCCCTCTCAATTCAGATGGAATTAATCAATCAGGCATTATGTCATAGTTGTTGTTGTGCTGTTGAGTCAGAACAAAGACATAGTTGACCCTCCAGTGGGTTTTCAGAGGGAGTTAATCACATGGGAGAAGACTGCCTATCCTTCTCCCACATAACAAATATCACCTAGAAATAAGTTTGTAATAGTTTACCAGGTGACCAAGGAAACAATTCTGGGATTTAACTAAAGGTCAAATTCTCATGCAGAAAGATAAAAAGATTTTGTTATTTTATTTTTGTCCAAAATTAACATTTATTTCATCGTTTATGTACCTTTCTTACAAGGTCAGGAAAGAAATTAAAAAGCATAATGTAAAACTACTGTAAAAAGATTTGATACAAAAAAGGGCCTTTATAAACACTGTATTTCTCCTACTTTCTCAAAAAGAAAATCTATTATCTCCTATATTCAACAGACAAAAGCATTCTTTTTTTCTTAATTCTCAACCCACCACATTTTGACAAGTTTTAATCTTCTCCTGAGCCAGACTGTACTCTGCCCAAATTCTCTCTAATTCATTCAATGAAGCTGGAGTGGTGAAGCATCCTTCATCTAACACTTGAACAGCATCCGAAAGGTCATCTCCAAAACGAACACTGATATTCACACATCTGTTTAAAAAATATGTAACAAAAGTAAAAGCACTGACACACAAGAAATTTGAAAATTTCTATGAGAAAAAAGTTAACACTCAGTAATTTCCTAAATTTACTATTTAAAATAGATATTTTTTAAACTTTTACCTAAAAAAGAAAGCTAAATCTATAAAAGTAATCAAATTGTATTAAGTAGGTATAATTTTGCTGATGGACTTGATATTAATAAACCCAAACTGAGAAATGGCTGCAAATACCCTTTAATAACTAAAAGATTGGGCAGTGCTCCACTTTGGGTTTTTTGGTTTTATTTTGTTGTACATAACACTGCTATGAGTTGAAACCAACTTGCCAACCTATAAAGACATTATATGTCTATCAAGTGACTCTCCAATTTCTGGTCTACAATTCAATTTCAAAATATCTCTTTAAAAGCTTTTAGAGCTATCCAATATTGCTTGCCTATAAGCACACAGTCCTTGTAACCTAACAACTGACCTTGTTATTGCTGCCATGTACCACTAAGTCAGAAATGACCTTCCAGTGAGTCTTCAGAGGCAGTAAATTACAGGAGAGGAGACTGCCCATATTTCTCCAATGGGACAGCTGTGTTGGCAGGCCAGCTCCTTACCATTAAGCCACCAGGGTAGTGTCCAATCAGATTACCACTACAAATTTTAATTTTATTTTGTTCTTGCAGTTTCTTAATTTGACTCTCCTAATGGCTTCGTTTGGAAGCAGGAGTGGCATCCACTTCCTAAACAACATGCCTCTTGAAACTCTATGAACTTTGAGAAATGCTAATAGTTATAAAAAGGCTTCAGGTCTTTTGTTTATGGGGTTGCCATGAGTCATACTCAACTCGACAGCAATCAACAACAACAATAGCCTAGTGGTAAGAAACTGACCTGCAATCCCAAAGTCATGCAGTTTGAACTGACCAGCTGCCCCTTGGAAGGACAATCTCCTCTCATGTGATTTACTGTCACACTATCAGCTATGGATCAGTTCCAACTCAATGGTACAAAACAACAACAGATAAACTTAGGTTAGGAAGTATCAAAACCCTGAGCAGTATACTATAATCTCATATACTTTTAGTTTTCTCTTTAAAATCATAAAAGCACAAAGATTTCGTTTCAAAGGGAAAAAAAAGCACCAGTGAGCATATAATTTAAACGGAGCCTGAACTAATGAGCAATACTTTAAATAATCCTTCTGGAAATATACTTTCACCTACCTAACTTCTTTCAATATTCCAACCTTAGCCACTAGATCTTTTATTCTGCTACCCACACAAGTCTTCAGTGAACTTTCCAAGTTTTTAGTCAAATCCATAGTAGTTGCTTTCTCTTGCTAGAATGAAGAACAGGCACACATATGCTAGTCAGACTCAGTGAACTATACCTATGTCAGTTTAGATATAATTAAACAAAATAAAAATGAATGTAATAATTCACAAATATTAATTTCCTATTGTTGTTGTGTACCATCAAGTCAGAACTGACCCATAGGTGATCCTCCAGCATGTTCTCAGAGGCATTTTATCACATGGGAGAAAAGTATTCATCGTTTTCCCCACAGATTAGCTAGTGGGTTGAAACCACAGGCCTTTGGATTTGCCAATGCAACTCCTTACCAGAGCCACAATGTGGAAAAGAACTATTCCAATTCTCTGCCTTTACACAGACTAAAGACTCATATTTTATGATAATAAGAAGACAAATAGAACATATATTTCACATATTACACTTTTAATGCTTAAAATTTTTAAAAATAGACAAAAAGGTTGCTATGGGTCACAGGCCACTCAACAGCACCTAACAACAAAAACCAAAGGCCCTCAAATTATTACATCAAGTTTTCTGATAAAGTTTGTCATCCTCCAAAACTAAAGAAATAAAAAATATTTTATAATGCAAGGTAGACTAAATTCCCCATTTCTGAATGTGTCTACCATGACTGCCCAAAATAATGCTACTCATGTACGGGAAGCCAATCAATTCTAACTATGTTGTTATTAGAACCACCACATAGGGTTCCCCTGGCTTTAGTATTTATGGTAACAGAACATCTGGTCCTTTTGCCTGTAAATAACTGGAAGAGTCAAACCAACACTTTTAGCAGTCAAGCACTTAACCACTGTCTTTCTAGGGCACCATACGTATATAATGCATAGTGCATAACACAGAAGTCTGGCAGATTTATCCCAATTATAATACAGCTATTTCAGTTTAATATCAAACTTCCACATAATTCCTAAAAAATATGCTCTCATCTTTACACTCTACAATTCAATAAAATAAAGACCAGGGCAGAATGAAGGTTCATTAATAATAGCAAATGTTCATCTCATTTCCTTAATTTTTTTTTTTTATTTTTTTTCATTTCCTTAATTTTGTACTGTATGAAGTAACCTGGGTTTGCTGTGATGCTGAACCTTGTACCATTGGCGTATTAAATACCAGAATGGTTTCCCAATGTGGACAGTGTTTGGTGGAGTTCCCAGTTGTAAAACAGGTTTGGAAGTAGGGGCGGCATTCAATTCCTAAACCACATACCTCTGGAGACTCTAAGAACTTGGAGAAATGATGATAGTTACGGAAAAGCATTAGGTCTTTTGTTCATTCAGTCACTGTGAGTCGCACTCAATGGCAATCAACGACAACAATGCTCATTTCCAGCTAATGCTCATTAATTACTAAGGATGATAGAAGAATAACATGCCAAGAAAACTAACAAGTCTGTCCTGGAGAGAGTGAAACCAAGTTGCTTTTTGGAAGCAAGGATTCTGAAGCTCCATATTTTGGCATGGTGTCAAGCAGGACCAGTCCTTGAAGAGGGACATCACGCTTGGAAGGGTGGTGGGACAGGACAAGAGAAAGACCCCAGATGAGATGAACTGACACAATGACTGGGACAATACTGGTAGGTGTGTGGAAGAGTGAGATTGGCTCAGGATAGGGCAGGGTTCAAGGCTGTTGTACATAGGGTTGCCATGAGCAACAGCCAAGTTGATGGCCGCTAACAACAAATCTTCATTCATGCTTATAGTCTTATGTTCTTACTGTGTTGCATGACAATGAAAAATTAGTTACTTTTGTTCATACACATGCTTATGTAAACTTGTTATATCCTATACAAGTCTATATAGCTTGTTAAATCTTCACAAGCTACTGGAACAGCACATTAACAGAGAACTACCAGAAGTCCAGGCTGGTTTCAGAAGGGGTCGTGGTACTAGAGATATTGTAGCTGATGTTAGATGGATCTTGGCTGAAAGCA